TTCATATCCTGGAATGTCTCTGTCGCCCCCCCCCCCCCTGCTAAAATATACAATCAATAAAATCAAGTATCTTTGGCCAATCTGATTAAAACACAGATCCTATTTCGTTTCGTTTTTTATAGTTCTAAATTTCGTTTTATTTGTCTTTATTACACTAGAATCTGGAAGAGTTGTTATATAACCCGCGTTCTTGATAGCGTAAGGGATTAGCCAATGAAACCAACTATTACGGCGACTTTCTTGGCGGGCGATGCAAGAACTGTGGGTAAACAACTAGAACCGTCAATGCTGATTGATTAACCAGTGTCTGGCGTCATAAGGTAAAAAAAAAACCGCTTGTGCGACGCCTGACACGACCTTCCAGTACAAACGGTCAGATCTTCATGTAGTGTAGGTCATCGAAAGTATAAAAAAAAAACGAAAAAGAAATATAGATCTGTATTTTAATCAGATTGGTCTTGGTGACACTTCTGAATAGCTTGCAGAGGGCGGGGAGAGAGGTGGGGGTTTTGGTAGCCCGGAGGTTATCTCCTATTTCCTAAAACTATGTCTACACTCTCGTTCCAGTTAACTACAAGCAGTAACGGGCGTTGTCCGCGGGGCACTCTCTATATGACGTGGTATTATTTCTATAACCTTCCATTTAGATATTACTTATTTCAATAATCTACCATTTAGATATTAATTATTTCAATAATCTACCATTTAGATATTAATTATTTCAATAATCTACCATTTAGATATTAATTATTTCAATAATCTACCGTTTAGATATTAATTATTTAGATATTAATTATTTCAATAATGTTTAGATATTAATTATTTAGATATTAATTATTTCAATAATCTACCGTTTAGATATTAATTATTTCAATAATCTACCGTTTAGATATTAATTATTTCAATAATCTACCGTTTAGATATTAATTATTTCAATAATCTAACATTTAGAAATTACTTATTTCAACGAACTACCGTTTAGAAATCACTTATTTCAATGATCTGCCATTTAGAATTTCCTGGACTGCATTTTTTTATACCATCCCCAAGTGGGAAGTAGGATTTTAACATAGATTTACATCCATTAAATCGAATTGCAAATGTTGGGGATTCTTTAACGTGAACGCCAGTGTGTACACCGAACCTCGGTTTCGTGCCATCCGAAGGACTAGTCATATGTCTTTGTCAAGGACAAAGCGCATCTACGCGGTAAAATTCCGATGAACTTTCTCAGTCAACACGGGAAGCGAACCCGAGACCTTCAGCGAGACAGCGTCTTACTCACTGAGCCACTGCGGCTCCCGAATAAGTGACAGACCATATATAATCTAAGGAAGACGATGTATACAACCGTTAGAGATTTACAACTTTTATTGGAAATTACCAGAGGCCTGTTTCACGAAATTTTAACTAAGATAAAATCCAAATTTTAGTAATTTGATTGGATAATATTAGATTGATTTTAGTGCTTAGCCAATCAAAATTGAAGTATCTACTAAAATTTGAATTTTATCTTTAGTTAAGATTTCGAGAAACAGAGTCCCTGGAAAGGACGCGGTTTACATCTCGTCCATTTATAAACAACTTGGGGGGTTGGGTGGCTGAATGGTTAGCGTGTGCGTGCTGTATCATAAAGCCTGTCATTGAGTCAAATAGCGTGGTTTCGATTCCCCGGTTGAACGTGACAAGGAGTAGGGTCGCCTGTCCAACCTCGTGGGTTTTCTCACGAGGTTTTCTCACATATGGTTTAATTTTATTTCAATAATTCGCTTGCGCGTAGGGGTCTTTAGCAGTGGAGGGAAACCGGAGGGCCCGGAGAAAACCCACGAGGTTGGACAGGCGACCCTAATCCTTGTCACGTACAACCGGGGATTCCGTATATCTGGGAGAACTGGAGGTAACTTTGCTAAAACACAGAGATTTAACACAACATATATTATAATATACGGTCCATACCAGATGTCTTATGTTTTACGTTTACTGATTTAATAATACTCAGATATACACGATTTTTACAGGAAATTTTAAGCAGGCAAACAAATGGAAAGACAAAAAAAAAAAAAAAAAAAAAAAAAACGTGACCATCAGACACCAAAATATCAAAATATAAAGTATTCGTTGAACTAGTTTCAAACGGAACTTTTCGTGCACACTTGGAAGCGAACTCATCAATAGCCCCATCAAAATTAACAGAACGTGACAAGCCATTTTCGATGCTTAAAATTGCCAGACCGAACGGATAATAAGCTTCTTCCGGACATTTAAGTGATGAGTAACGCTGTCAAAAAGTCAGCAATTGGCAAAAATATTGAAAAACATCGACATTTTTAGCGCCTAACGAAACGAAGCGAAAGTAAAAGTTTCTCTTTCAGTTTCGTTTTCAATAATCGGATATTAGTCAGTCTATATAATCGCATGCATGATCACTGGCGGCAGCGCGCGATACTGACCGCGCACCTGTAACAATATGATAGCGGTAACAATAACCATATTGTGATCTTTAACCAGTTATTTATTCTAAAATTGATAATCAAGATATTTTAGTAAGTTATGCTGGTTGTTTTGATACGTTAACTAATTAACATATTGGCCATTTAAACGCTTCTTTGTTATAAAACATATATCATATTTGTTGACCAAATTAGGCAAGAATCCCTGTCGATATCCAAGGTATGGTGCGTGTCCATTCCATATTTTGGAATGTAGCTGTTATCAGTCCATTACGTAAATCGGTTAGGGGTATGTACCTATAAAAGAGACAGCGGGGGTAGAATTTGGCAGAAATCAAACAGACCAGCTATAACAAGTCAGATAGTATTCTTGAGAACGTAAGAAAGACACATCAGTGGATCGAGTCCAAGAACACACCATCATTGTAGCGTTCTACAGACCTGGGGCCTGTTTCACGAAGTTTTAACTAAGATAAAATCCAAATTTTAGTAATTTGATTGGATAATATTACATTGATTTTAGTGCTTAGCCAATCAAAATTGAAGTATCTACTAAAATTTGAATTTTATCTTTAGTTAAAATTTCGTGAAACAGGGCCCAGTACTAGGCCCCGATTAGCTACGAGAACGTAGCTAAAAACGTTGCGATATACTGATGTGCTTGTTTTTAGCTACGATTGGGTGCCTTTGGTTCCAAGTGGCAAACTCAATTTCTTTTTATACTATTATGACGAATTAAACTTACAGAGGCCAGTGTAGTGACACAACTATCGCCTAACTCCAAATATTCGCGTTTAAATTATTGAAGCGTTGTTTTTATCCGACAGTACACTCGATTTTAAATACGATGATTTATACCCGTTTCAGGTAGGATTATGTGCTTAATTGTAGTTGGATGTGACAGAAATATTATAAATAACAATAATCAATCGTTGTTTTGATGACAAATATTGTCAATTTTACTTACTGAGGCCCGATGTGATTTGCGTTGAGCTTTGCTACGTGGAACTATATAGCACCATCTCTTATCTCGAAACACGGAGGGTTGAGAGATGAGGTTTGTTATCTAGGCCCCGATTACCTTCACAGTGACGATTGCCACAAACTGAATGGGGACTGGCCGTGGCCCGAGTGCGTGAAGGCCCGGGCAGGTGGTTTATAGTTTTAAATTCAACAATGTTTTCACTAGGTACCCAAATTCAAAAGTGTCACCGGTTTTCTTCTAATATACGATCACGGATGGCAAGCAATGGCATTCCAACTATCCCATCCGAATGACTAGACGGTGTTATTTGCTGGACCCTCTGTACTGCACCACGGACAAGGGGGAAACCACGCTGGTAAATTCCGGTGAAATTTCTCAGTCAACACCGGGATACATACACAGAACTTCTGGAAAATTAAAAAGGAGCAAGATTGATAACCGCATCACAGTAGACATATAGTCCTAGCCTAGACAGAATATACGGCCTGATCTCCTTACCCCATCCGCCATAATTACACCATGAATCTCAAGGCACCAAGGAAGGATTTAGGCGTCGGTCGTCATTCGGAAAAAAAAAAAAGAAAAAAAACACTTTTCACCGGTGGAGTGTTTTTTTTTCCCGCCAGGAATCCATACATATATTAAATTAAAATTTAAAAAAAGGGGGGGGGGTTAAATATATGCAATTAGAGAATCCGGAAAAGACACAAGTTTATGTGCAGTCAACTCTGTTCCTTGAGATCCATAAATGGCTCCATGATCTAAAGTCCAGGTTTAACGTCCACTCGACGCAAACTAGGGGTCATTTTGGGACTATCATATGGCTCAATTTTATGCGCGTAGGGGTCTTTAGCAGTGGGAAGAAACCGTGGACCCAGAGAAATCCCACGAGGTTGGACAGGCGACCCTACTCCTTGCCACGTACAACCTGGGAATCGAAACCACGTCAGTTAACTCAATGACAGCCCTTATCACACAGCGCGCACGCGCTAACAATTCGGCCATACAAACCCCCTGCAAGCGTTAGACTGCCCCCACCCTAAAAATATACCCCAAGTAAAAACACTCGCGATCAATCCTCTAGAATCTACTTTTACTTTTATGCAAATATTGTTAGAGAAATGAACCTATATATATATACAGGATATAGGATATAGCATAAATTATTCATGCGCTTTCATGTATAATAACCGACATTAAATACAATTGTTGGTTTTTATTTTAATGTTTAACAAGTATTTATTGATACAAAGCTAAAAAACATTGCGCGTAGTTGAACAGATGTTCGGTAGGCTAATCCGTTTACTGACTGAGACCGGAGTCTATGAACACGAATTGGTCTCCCAGAGAGCTAATACACCCAAGAACTAAATAAAAGGATATCCTTTGATTGAAATTAACGGATCAAGATTCGAGTTGATATCTAAAATTAGAAGAATATACGAGATACTATAAGGTATTATTACTTTTTAGTTTTTATTATTATCACATACGTGTCCTCTCTCTCATAGCTCGATACACAAGTCTATGCCTATACACACTGAGATAGGCTTTGATGGTTACTTGCTCCGGTCGGCGATCTCACTGCATTAAGAACAGCTACAAAAAAGTCATATTTCTACGGTTAGAAGAAGAATTACGAGGAACCACTACGCTCAAAAGGTGGGTCACAGTTCCAGGATCATAAATATATCAAAAAATCACCATGGAAAGGGTATGGTTAGCTTGTTATAATCAAATATGTTGAAATTTATTCTGACTACAGAATCGCCATATTTGATTGTATGGATAGGGTGTTACTATAAATAGATCCCATACAGCCAACCCGCTAGTTGTCGAGCAAGCTCATTAAACAAAGAAATAACTGAAAGGGAACCCAAATCATCGATTATTTGTTTGTTTTAACACATTTCCTTTGTCTTATTGTAATATATATCATACATTTATAAATAAATTGAAAGTAGAATGGCTTAAACACGTGATATATCGAGATTAAATACGTGATTTATTTAGAGAATGATCCTTGGTGTCGTATATAATGATACACATGTATAAGTAAATTTCATAATGCACCCACCCCATGTATACTCATAGACAAAACGTTTCCGTGTTGAAAGGAGAAATACAAGTGGACTGACAATAAAGGAACGAAATCTAGTTTTATTTTAATCTATTGACGAAAAATATAAAATCATGGGGTTTCTCTGGTTGTGGATTCCTACTCTCACTGCTCAAGACCCTTCTGCGCGAAAGTGACTTAATTGAAATAAGCTAACAACATTTGGTTCCAAAAGGAAATGAAATGGGGTTTAACGTCCTAAATTTCTGCTTCTATTGGGCTAATGAAGTCGGGCATTCGTCATACAGTGTGCTATGAGGGAAATTTTGCCCGAGCAGCGACACTATGGCCTACTCTTATATATCGAATTCCGACTGCTAAGGGGTCTTTTACGTGCACGTTAATGTATACACGGGTGGTTCCAAAAGGACCTAACTTGTGTCAAGTGGACGTTAAACTCAATTTTGTCTGTCTCTGTCCTATTGAAAAAATTATACTTCTCGGGTGGGACGTGATTTTCACGTTTAATTATTAATATGTTCTTTGTGTGGACTTGACTACGGTATTTGTTTAGGGATAGGGACTAGGGTAATGCCGGCAGAAATTTATGTCTGATCAAGTGTTAGATAATTGTCACCAACAATTTACATTAGGTCATGTTTTGGGTATTTATTTTAACATAAAATTAGAGAATTAGAAATTAGAGCGATCCGTGTAGTGATTGATCGTCTGTCAAGCAAAAAAAAAAAAATTAAAATGTCATGATTTGTAGACTAAAATAATCATATACATGTAGTTTCTTTTTTGTTTATTAAATATCTCATACTCGTAACCTTTGTCTAATTTTTAAAATTTATTGGAATAATCTAGTTCACAGCCTGGGCAACACCCAAAATTGCGATTAAAAACGCCCAGGCGTGACTCGGACATTTTGTTAATTCCAAATTTACTTGTATGAGGCAGCAATATCAATGTTCGGCGTATAATTCATAATTCATCTGGGTTTTTTTTAGATCAAAAATGTGTAGAATGTGTCGATATATTCATTGAAAAATCCATGTGATTTAGTTGCTGCATTGGCCAAAATTTTCTCTCTTGTGTAAGACAGTCGGGAAATCCCGATCAACTTTCCCTGTCAACACCGGGATTGAACATGGAACCTACCGGTTAGCAAGACCCTCGAATGATACATGTATATACAATGATGATCGATGGGCTTTCGATTTCCCGGCTGTACGTGACAAATAGTAGAGTCGCCCGTCCAGCCTCGTAGGTTTTTCCCGGGTCCTCCGGTTTCCTCCCACTGCTAAAGACCCCTACAGGCAAGCGAATTATTGAAATAAAATTTAACCATATGTTAGTCCCGAAATGACCTAGTTTGTGTCGAGTGGCCGTTAAATCCCATTTCTCTCTCTCTCCCCCTCTCTCTCTCTCTGATCGATTGAGGTACAATTTTATTATTTGAGTAGGCCTCTGTAGATGAGAGACATCAGGTTAGTCCGCCTTCGTTCCAGGTTGGCGTGGAAAAGTAAAACGTTAACCCTCATTTCATTTCAAAGCCATTCAACATTTTGTCCCGAAGCTAACAGGTCCTGTTACATTTCAACCCATTTAAACCCACTCGGCAAAGCTCGGCAGATTCCAGTACCCTAAATCTAGATGTAGGGTATTGGAATCTGCTGAGGTTGGCCGAGTGATTTAAACCATCAATCACAATTATTTTATTTCCGGGTACATAGACGGTTGACCAAGGATTTTTTGGGGTTACGATCAACCAAGAGCATAGTGGGCAATTTGTACTATAATGTTCATGGTGGACTAGCTGATCGAGTCTATGGGGAGCACGGGACATTTTTTCACGAACTGCTTTTCTTTAGCGTATATAATAAAAGTGTATACTAGATCACGGTCTAATGGCTATATAATGACGTCACTGACATGTATATATGTACATATCTATATACCAGACGTCAATACATGCATTCTGCACGTACACCACAGAACATGTAATAACGTGATCAGCGGTAAATTATCGCTTGGCCTCTACTATCACTGAGAGGGATGACACCAGGGTGGGGTAATTACCTCTGTGACGTCATAGGTACACTCTGATTAAAATATATATCAATATTTCGTTTCGTTTTTTTTATACTTTCGATGGCCTAGTTCAGACCCTAGTGTAGTAAAGACAAGTAAACCGAAATTTTGAACTATATAAAAACGAAACTAAATAGTCTGTGTTTTAATCAGATTTTTATAGGTACATCTTTTACAGAGATAAAAGGGGACTTTCGCATAACCTCGCATTACCGCTGTGAAATAGATCTGAGATTCTGTCACCTAAAAGCAATACAATACAATCCGTTACTAAATATAAATCGTACAGCAACCGTGTGACGTCATCGTGATACACGAAAGGAAGTACGCTGTTCATTTTATGTTTATTTTCGTAATTCCAAAATAATTGCGACGGATATATCCACTAACTAAATCATTTCTGCTGATTTCAGGGCATTTAAATTCATTAGAAGTGTTTGTAATATATATACAAAGATAACTATAACTGTATTTTACAAAATCGATAGGACTATATATATATATATATATATATTTTCCGGGAATAATGACGTCAAAGGGTATTTAACTTTCTATTTTAGTAGCAATTGTCGATTGGTGGCAAGGGCAGGTTCCCGAACTAATGTATTATGCACAAGGCTTGCGTTGTTATCCTGAAAAGGATTTAAATGACAAATTTGTTATTTTTTTTAAATGGCGATAAATTCTGAAGGCGTAATAAAACGTAGCCTACAGGCGTATTCCGACCTTCTGAACGGCACCCTTTTTTATAACTATTACAATTTGGCACCAGTCATTTAAATAGACGAAAGCTGTCCTAAAGTGTTATATGAACGAAATTGAGGGGGGAGGGGGGGATTTCTGTACTCCGGTTTAAAACTGCTTAATCTTTTTTTTAAATAAATTTTCAAATGGATGAAATGATTAAGCATGGGGCCCCTATGCTCAACCATATATGCTACAAATCGATGGTTTCGATTTCCCGGTTGTACATGACAAGGGGTATAGGTTCGCCTGGCCTGTCCAACCTCGTGGAATTTCTCCGGTTCCTCCTGTTTCCTTATATATGGCGATTTACGACGTCAGTAAACTCGATAGTACCGCTGACTTATGTTGTACCTGTATATGCATGTGTAAAATAGCTTCAGTTAACACCCGCTTTTTATATAAATCATAATTCTCAAAAATGCAATTTTCATTGGCTCTGTCTGTATAGCGCCATGTAACGCCGTATCCAACTCGACCATCCAGATGGCGTGTTGATAAATATCAATTAATATCAATTACGAACCGTATAGATTTAAATATAGTTGGTCAAGGCCCACCTTAAAAAGGGAATGGTCCAGTAGCATCTTTAATCCGTGGTTTTGGTTTGTAACCAAATTAATAATAACCGAGACCTAAAAAAAAAAATGAATAAAGTGACATAGGCCTGTTGGGTTGAAAAACAGAGGAATAGCCTACAATTTATAGAATCTGAGAGATTTATTAACTCGCGGGAAGCGAGTTTCTAGTTTTTGTTATTTTTCCTAATTGATAAAAGATTCCTATTTGTCAAAAATTATTTATTACGCTCACCGTAAATTAGCCTAGGCCTTTATGAACATGACAGGAGAAAAAGGTTGACCAAGGGAAGAGCAATAAAAAAATATATAAAAGAATTAAAAATAACAAAGTTTTGTCTGAGAGTCGAAAATCTACGTCGCAATGTTTTCCGATATTTTTTAGTCCGCGATCCACTGTCTTGGCGGGAATAGTTGGTTACGATTTCACACTTTGCAGTCGGGGTTTTGTTACGGTACTCTAACTTATTTATAAATAATGAACACTTTTCTCGAAATAAGCCTAAATGATAGATTGCTCCGTCATAAGTCAAACTCGCTTTATAGTTATTTAATGCAGACGGTATATATATTATTAATAATATTATCGTTCATTACGGTCATGATGCATTGGCCAACATTTGTAAGTTTTTCGCCATAAATGATTTTTAATCTCTTCATTCATTTGGTCGTTTCTCCTTGCCATTCACGTACAGCAGTGTTTCGTATCCAAGATGGCGTCAAAGCATTGAAAGAAGTAAATGAGCGACACGTTTTTCTCAGATTTATTGATATTCTGGTAACAATATAGAGTATTCGACACCATTAAAAGTTGAATTGTACATTTAAGTTTAACAATACGCCGTTAGGTTGTGTAATTCGATTGTTGCTAAGATTTTAGAATTGTAAAAGTGGGGCTATTTATTACTTAGCCTGAACGATAGATGGCTGGGAGACGCGAGTGGCGATGTGGTAGTGGCGATGTGTTTTGTTTTACAAACAATGGATTCTCATAGTCCAATCGTGAAACGCATTGAGGATTTGGTTTTTTTTAATTTTTGATGTTAGAATTCTGAATGAATAATATATTATTTAGATTATTGATTTTTACTTATCACAATCTATTTAGTTTTAAAATAGAATTTAATACTCTGTCATACTCATTGTAGACAATACATGGTGAATAGATACAGCCAGGTTTTATC